GCTCACTGCAACCTCCGCCTCTTGGGTTCAAGCAATTCTTGTACCTCAGCCCCTGGAGTAGCTGGGATTACAGGCACCTGCCACCATGCCTGGCTAATTTTTTTGTATTTTTAGTAGAGACAGGGGTTTTACCATGTTGGCCAGACTGATTTCAAACTCCTGACCTCAAATAATCCACCAGCCTTGGCCTCTCAAAGTGCTGGGATTACAGGTGTGAGTCACCGCACCCGGCCAACAATCTAATTTTAGAACATTTCCATTATCCCAAAAAATCCCTCATACTAATTTATAGTCAATCCTTATACCCATCGGCAGCACCAGACAGTCACTAATGTATTTTCTTTTATACTACATTTGTTTTATCTGGATATTTCACACAAACAGAATCATATTATATGTAGTATTTTCTGTTTATTTTCTTTCAACTAGTATAATGTTTTCTAAATTCAGTCATGTTATAGGACATTTTGGTAATTTCTTTTCATTGTTAGTTTACACATGTTTGGATATACCACATTTTGTTTACCCATTCACTAGTTGATGTACATTTGAATTGTTTCCACTTTGGGGCTTTTATGAATAATGCCATTATTTACCTACTTATTTTGGGTAGATAGCTAGGAATCAAATTGCTAGGACATATGGTAAGTTTATGTTTAACTTTTAAAGAAACTCATAACTATTTACCAAAGTGACTGTACCATTTTACACTCTTATCAGCAATGTATGCAGGTTCCAATTTCTCCATTTCCTCAACAACACTTGTTATTGTCTGTCTTTTTTTTTTTTTTTTTTTTTTTGACGGAGTTTCACTCTTGTTGCCCAGGCTGGAGTGCAATGGCGCAATCTCAGCTCACTGCAACCTCCGCCTCCTGGGTTCAAGCGATTCTCCTGCCTCAGCCTCCTGAGTAGCTGGGATTACAAGCATGTGCCACCGTGCCCTGCTAATTTTGTATGTTTAGTGGAGATGGGGTTTCTCCATGTTGGTCAGGCTGGTCTCAAACTCCTGACCTCAGGTGATCCACCCACCTCTGCCTCCCAAAGTGCTGAGATTACAGGTACCCGGCCTCTGTCTGTCTGTTTTTTTATTATGGCCATCCTAGTACATGTGAAGTGGTATCTCACTGTGGTTTTAGTTTGCATTTTCCTAATGGCAAATGATGCTGAGCGTGTTTCACATACTTATTAAGACATTTCCATATATTTTTTGGTGAAATATCTATTCAAATACTTGCCCATTTTTAAAATTGAGTTTTAACAATTCTTTTTTTTTTTTTT